CTCCGATCACCCCATGAGCGAGACTGTTCTAGTTAGGGCCATTCGAGCTGTCCCAGGGGAAGGGTTTATAGTGAGGGCACAGAGACCTTTCATCACTGAAGAGGTGCCACCGGAGGGCTCCTTAGGAGCTCTAAGAGTGAAATAATTCTGCCCAGGGATCCCCAACAGCACCCAGCCTGGCTCCTCAGTGGAGCAGCGCTGGCTGGGGCAGTGGACCATTTTCCTTTATGGGAAACAGAGGGGACGGAGCAATGGGATGGTGAGACAGGTCCCCAGACACCTCACTCTGCCTCTTAGGTGAGGCAGCAAGAGATGTGTCAGCATGTTTGGGCTTCACAGCTGCAGAGCATGGCTCCTGTCCAGGGCCCTCGTTTCCAACGCGTGGAGGTTTAGTGAACCTCTCACCTGGCGAGTCCCAGGCAGCAGGTGATGGAAACAGGACCCTTCTCCCAGCCTGCGAACAGCCAGCTTAAACACAGGCCTGCTCAGGGTCCTAGTGCGCAGCTGTATTCCATTGACTCCTCCACCATCCAGCAGCACCTGTTCCCTGTTAGCTGCTGTCTTGCTTTGTTTGGTGACACCATGCCACCCAGCCACCAGACTGCATGGCGGCAGCAGTCAGGGTGCGCAGGCCTTCAACACACTATGCTGTGAAACTCCGAATGGTCATTCATTCATTAACAGATCCTCCAATTGAGCACATACTCTGTGCTTAAGCACCACAGATAAAGGCTGACCTTACCTGTGGGCAACTCAGGAGATAACAAGTCTAAAAGCCAAATAAGTGATGACAAGTGTGCAACTCATTGAGAGGGAGAAGCCCGAGCTGTGATGAGAGTGTAACGGGTTTCAGGGAGGTGTGCCTGAGGAAATAACCATGGACCTGAGGCCTGAAAGACAAGGGGGAGTGAGCTTCTGAATGGAATAAGAAAGAAGTTTTGAGGCACAGGAAGGACCAGGGTCCTGAGGCAGACAAGCTCTTGGTGATTCCAGAAACTGAGAGAAGCCCAGCAGCGCTGGAGTGCAGAGAGCGGCGGAGAGGAGGAGGCGGGGCCGGACTATCGTGCATCAGGAAGGATCTGTGTTTGTGTGTAACAGAGGGCTGAATCCAAAGACTGAACCAGCAGCCCTCCAGCATGTCATCAGGAAACCACGTTCCATCCAGCTCTTCACTCCACCATCCTTAGATTGCAGCTCTTGTCCTCATACTCACAAGATGGCTGTTGAAGCTCCATTCATCATATCTGCATTCCAGGCAGGAATAAGAAGGGCAAAGGCAAGAGGAACAAGCAGCCCTGGCCAGGGTGGTTCAGTTGGTTGGAGCATCATCCTGTGCACTGAAAGGTTGTGGGTTTGATTCCCATTCAGGGCACATACTTAAGTTGCAGGTTCAACCCCTGGTTGGGGCACCTACAGGAAAGCAACTGATTCATCTTTCTCTCTCACATTGATGCCTCTCTCTCTGCCTTCCCTCTCTCTAAAATCAAAAAGCATATCCTTGGTGAGGATTTGAAAAAAAAAAAAAAGAGGGGCAAGCAGTCAAATTGGACTTCTTTCAAAAGGCTCCACTAGAACCTTCAGTTTGTCTCATTAGCCAGCCTGTGTCACATGTCACCCTTAAGACATCCCGGGAATAAGGGTTTTTAGTTGTCTACACTGTTGCTTGCTACAAAGTCAATCTTTTGTTAATAAAGAAGGGGAAGGGGGAATGGATATTGGGTAGGCAATATCTAGGGTCTGCCCCACAGGCCTTGTAGGTCTCGGTAAGGAGTGTGGCCTTCGTTTGGAGAGCAGCTGGGAAGCCACAGAGTGTTCTAAGCAGGGTGGTAACACTGAAGGGGGAGGCAACTCGGGGCTATCCCACCTGAGCCACAGCAGCCCAGCTGTGGGCAAGTGTATTAGTTTCCAAATTGCTGTGAACTGGGTAGCTTAAAAGAGCAGAAATGTGTTCTCTCACAGTTTTGGAGACCAGAAGTCAAATTAAGTCATCAGCGAGGCCATGATCCCTCTGAAGGCCCTAGGGAAGAGTTCTTCCTCGCCTCTTCCAGCTTCTGGTGGCTCCTGGCAACGCTTGGTGTTCCTTGGCTTGTAAGCTGCATCGCTCCAATCTCTGCCTCTGTTGTCACATGGCTTTCTTCCCTGTGTCACCTCTGTGACTCTGTAAACAAATCTCCCCCTCCTTCCTTTTATAAAGACATCCATTATTGGAATTAGTGCCTGCTAAGACTCTATTTCCAAATAAGGTCACATTCATAGGTAGGGGGGGTAGGGCTGGAACATACGTCTTTGGGAAACACAATTCATTCTACAACAGCACACAAAAGGAGTGCTACCTAGATGCTGCTTTGCTCTGTTGAGCCACTCATTTCCCCTCACCCACAGGTCATAAAAAGACAGCCCAGGAATTAGAAAGACAAGTTTATTTCCAAAACTTCGACCCAATGCCAGGCACCGATCCCTCCTCTTATAAAACAGCAAAAGGAAAGGTCTGGGCTCCTGCCTCACTCACCTCAGCAAACACTTATCTAGCTCAGATGATGCAAGAACCTCCAGACCTGGGTGCAGAGGTGACCTCACCTGTCCCTGCTTGTCAGGGGATCAGAGTTGGGCAGGTGTGGTGGGGGGAAAGGGATAGCTGAAATTTAAATAACAGCCTGAATAGCATCTAACTTGTTTTCCATTCTTCAGGCAAAATTTTAGGCTAACCGATGCCCTTTAATAAACTACTTTTATATTTGAACCCGGGCACCAGGGGAAGAGGTGAGCTATAGCAGTGACTCTGGCAGGTGGTCGCAGCTGAATTGGGGTCAGATGCACAGTGTTGTTCAGAGCCCCCTGTTTTGGGCTTTGCAGTGGAATAAAAACCACTCACCCTGTGAGTTCCAGGACACAGGCTGGGGCCACCTTTGTACATTTCTCTTTGCATGAGGTGGTGTGCATGGAGCTGTTTCTTGGCAGGTGATTTGTGGTGGTGGTGGAGGGGGTTGGTTTTTTTGTTTGTTTGATCAAGGTGAGGATTCCTAGCAGAGATGGGTGGCGATGGAAGAGCTGGAGGCCTAGGAGGAAAAGACACAACATCTGGTCCCCTGGGGAGTTGGGTGAGAGGCAGAAGTGGAAGGGGCTGTGAGCTCTGGGCACAAGCACGGCTGCTTCAGTGCCTGCAGGCAGACTGGGGAGCAGTGCTTCCTCCTCTGGGCACCTTCTGGGACCCCAGGGTGGGTGACTGGCAGCAATGACAGGCAACATCCTTGGCATGGACCCTTGCCCTCACCCCAGGGGTGGTGGCATCAGGGTGGCCCCCTCAGGTGGTTTCATGAGTAAAACCAGAAATCGAGTAAAGGTGGGTTCATGTGACTCTCACAAATGGTACACACATCTCTTGAGGGCTCCCATGGGTGGTGGGGGCCATTTGTAGGGGATGGAGGTCCTCCCTGGGCAAGTAGGGGGAGAAGGTCAGTAAGGTGAGGTTTAAGCTGAGCATTGAAGGAGTAGGAACAGGCTAGGAGAGGAAGGTCAGGAAGGTCGTTCTGGGCAGGAGGATCAGCATGTGTGAAGGCATGAGTGACCACCAGTGGTCTGAGACTGTCAGAGGAGTCTGGTCTGGTGGGTGGGGGCACAGGAATGCGCAGGAGAAGGGGAGAAAGAGAGAGAAGTGAAGCTGGAGAGAAAGTGGAGCTGGCTCTTGATGGGACCTGCATGCCAGGCTGAGGTTTGGGTTTTGTCACGAGGGCAGTGGGAGCCCCAGATGGCTTGTGAACAGTGATGTGGTTTCAAATGTGTTTTAGATTTATTTGATGGACATGAAACCAGGCAATGGCAGTGTGAAATCTAGCTCCTCCCACCCCCCAGCCCACCTGTCTACATGTTTCTTCTGCTCATCTCCCCCAGCTCTGCCCCGACCCCAGATTCTCAGTGTGTCACTTGTCAGAAGAGCAGTCTTCCTCCTGGCAGGTGGGGAGAGCAGGCATCCTGTCCCTGCTCATGCTGGGCCCAGGGCAAGGGCTGGCTGGGCAGCTGGCAGGCTGGCAGAGAGGACGTGGTTTGCTTTGCTGTGTCTGCAGCCACCGCCGCTGGACAGCCTGATTGATGACCCACAATGTCCAGGGCTTCTCACGGGTCAGCAGCCCCCATCTCCTCGGCAGCTGCCAAGTGAACCTGCCCGCTCTGCCTCCGTTTCTCCTATGGCTGCCCCCCCCCCTTCATCCACTGAAATGCTGTGACATCGCCCCTCTCCTGGCTCTTCCATCTTTTCTGCCAACTGTTTCCCAGCCTCTTTTCACCCCTGGCACTAAGTGCCCTGTGCAGGAGAGGCCTTGCAGAAGTAACGCCCAGCCTGCTGGGTTCTGGGCACACAGTAGAGTTAGAAATACATCTTCAAATCCTTGCCCTCTAGTGACTGTAGTGTGGGCCCTGTGTCATCCCTCTGCTTGAGGGCCTGTGTCTGTGTGTTCTGTTTGCATAAGTCTCACCTCCTCCATCAGTCTAGCAACTCCCCAAGATCAAGGGTATGCCTCCATCTTTAGACTGGTAGCTTCTAAAATCTAGTTTTTTCTTCTCCCTTAAAAGGGTACTCCCCAGAGCAGGGGTGCTCTCCCCCTCAGTCTGGGAGCTCCCTAGAGACAAGGGCTGTTTGGGGCTGCCCTCTTTCTCTGGGGTGCTGCAAGCCGGGCTCTGCCTTGTGCTTCACGGGGACTCGGGGACCATAGGAAAAGCCTCCTGGCCTCTCTGGGAATGGCAGGGCTGAGCATGGGTACAGCAGGTGGGATTTGGCTGGAGCCAGAGCCGTATGGGCATGGCTAGGGGCCAGGTACTGAGCTGTTTGGGGCCAAGGGGAGCCCAGGGGCTGCCAGACCTAAACCAGCCATCTGGGCCACACATCCAGCTTCCTGGGGGCCATGATTTTTTGTATCCAGAAGTCTGGGTGCGGGAGGTGCAGAGGGTGGTTCCTGGCATGCCTGACACCTCATGCCTTCTGTGGCCTCTGTCTTGGATGGTGGCAGGAGGACAACCACAACTACTATGTGTCCCGTCTGTATGGCCCCAGCGAGCCCCGCAGCCGGGAGCTGTGGGTGGATGTGTCCGAGGCCAACCGGAGCCAAGTGAAGGTCCACAGAATCCTTTCCAACACCCACCGGCAGGCTTCGGTGAGTGCCCCGGTTCCTGGCAGCGCTGCCCTGGGCTGGGAGGCTGGAGCCCAACCCACCCCGCCTGGTCAGTGCGCATGGCTGTGGCCTAAGATCTGTGATCTTGGGAGGTGCCTTCCATGGGACGCTGGGTGGCTTGGCCAGAGTTGGGGTTCCCACCTGTGGTCCTGGCAGACTGCCCTGGACATGCCTGCCCCCTACCCTGTTCAGACAAGCATGGAGCAGTGTAGATGCCCAGCCCCTTGGCCTGCAGGTTGGCCCATGCTGACTCTCTCCCATCCCCTGCAGAGAGTGGTCTTGTCCTTTGATTTCCCTTTCTACGGGCATCCTCTGCGGCAGATCACCATAGCAACTGGAGGTAAGGCTGTGTCAGTAAGGCTGGGGGAGGATTTGGAGCTCTCAGCCAGAACTTGGGGAACCTACCTGGGGATGTTCACTGGAGGTAGGGTTGTATAGATGGACCGGGGAGGGACCCATGTTTGGCTCTCTCTTGGGAGCCCACTCTCAGGAGGGAGGTCAGTGATTGTGCCTGAATACCTCTCTTACATCAGCTGACTTGCTCCTGTGTGTGTGTGTGTGTGTGTGTGTGTGTGTGTGTGTGTTTCCCTCCGGGCCAGCTCAGGCCAGTGTGTGCAGTCCCTGTGGCATCCATGATCCCTGTGTTTCTGAGTCTGTGATTTGGAGGGAAAGGGAGATTGCATTGAGAGCTCCCTGTTGACATCAGAAGTCCATCTTTGATTCCTGTGTACATCCCCAGGGAAAGGGAGGTGGGAATTTGTGCCCACGCGGAGGGGCAGGGAGAAACTTCCTGGCCTGGGACCCTTTTACTCCACACATGCCTGATCCTGAGCCCACCAGTTGGGCATAGAGGACAGAGGTTCAAGACTTGCTTCTAACTATATCTGCACTGCTCCTTCCTGCCCTTGGTGTGGGGAGGGGGGAACATGAGGAAACAGCCCCTCTGGGCCATCTCTGGTGATTCTTCTGAACTTCTCCCCATTCCAGGCTTCATCTTCACTGGTGATGTGACCCATCGGATGCTCACAGCTACTCAGTACGTGGCCCCTCTGATGGCCAACTTCAACCCCGGCTACTCCGACAATTCCACAGTTGCTTACTTTGACAATGGTGAGACAAGATCTCAGAGTTTAAGTCACCTAGCACCAGGGCTCCCCTGGCCCAGCCCCTTTAGAAGAACACAAGACCCAGAGAGGGCGAGGGACTTGCCACGGTCACACAGCAAGGTAGCCACCCCACCTTTCTGTATTGTTTCCTCACCTGTAAGGTGGCGACAAAATGCCTGCTACCCAGCAGGATCTGATGGACACCGAAATGAAAGTGCTTGGCTCTTAGTAGAGGTGAAATAAATCCTAGGGCCCTTTATTGGTTTTTACTCTCACCAGGCTGTCCCTTGAACACCCACCCTCCCATCCCAGGAGAACAGGCAGTTTTCCTACTTTTCCTCAACTCGAGGGTCAGGACAGGCGAGAAGGAAGGGGCATGCTTGGGGCAAGAGGTGATCGAACATAGTGTCTGGGGGCTGAAGCAGGGTCCTCTCCAGCTTGAAAGCCAGGCTGTTTGTGGGTTGCCCAGCTCCTGCCTTCAGTCAAATTTGCAAACTGCCTCCATCGTCCCTAAGGGACCTGACCCGTGGCCAGTCCACTTTGGCCACTGTTCCTGCAATGCCCTGCCCCCTGAACTACCTCCCCTCCAGCCAGGTCTCTGCTCTTCTCCACAGGGACGGTCTTTGTTGTTCAGTGGGACCATGTCTACCTCCAAGGCCGGGAGGACAGGGGCAGCTTCACCTTCCAGGCAGCTCTGCATCGTGATGGCCGCATTGTATTCGGCTACAAAGAGGTGAGTGAGCCCACCTTCGGAGACGGCTGGGTCCTGTGGAGACTTTTTTTTCTATTTAGTGAATATTTGTAGAGAACCTGAAATGTCCCTGGCATAGGGCTTGGTGCTGGGGATACAACAGTTAATAAGATGGCTGTGGGCCCTGCCCTTGTAGAGTTTAAGTCCTGTTGAGACAATAGACAGTAATTGCAGAGACAAATGTAGAAGTGTCACTGTAACAAGTGCTCCTAAGTAGAGGTGCCTGGTGCCAAGAGACTGTCATGGGGCTCTTTACCTCAGCAGGGGTCAGGAGAGGCTTCCGTAAGGAAAAGAGATAAAATCTGCAGGATGCATAGGAGTTAAAGAAGCAAAGAGGAGAGGGAAGTGTGTTCCAGGAGAAAGAAGAGCATGTGCAAAGGTCCTGTGACAGGATAGATCGTGGCTGGTACAGAGCACTGAAAGAAGGCAGCATGGCTGGCAGGGAGAGAGTGAGGGGCAAAACAGGGCGGGGGAACACCAGATTTGCCTTTGACTAAGGTCACTCTGACTTCAGAGTGAAGAACAGATTGTTGGGGGCTCAGAGGGAAAGCTGGGAGATGAGTTAGGAAAGGGGTGTTGCCAACTTAGAGTCTACTGGGGGACGAAGGAGAGAATTGGACAGATTTGAGAGTCAGCTGGTTAATTAACAGGATTTAGAGATATATTCAATGGAGGAGGTGGGGGAAGTGAAGAAAGGGAGGGGCTGGGGTGACTCTTAGGTCTCTTCACAAAAATAGTGCGTAAAACAAGGAAGTGTGCTTGGAGGTGGTGTGGGGAAGACTTGAAATTTGAATGGGGCACCTTGGGTGTGAGATGTTTTCACACCCTCCAAGAGGTGGCACCAAGCAGGTAGGTGGGTCTGGACCTCAGAGGGGAAGCCTAAGCTGGCCCAGGAGTGATTGGGGTGGGGGTAGATGGAGCCTCTTCTCCCTTGCTGCAGATCCCTATGTCTGTCCTGGAAATCAGCTCCTCTCAGCACCCTGTCAAAGCCGGCCTATCAGACGCTTTCATGACTCTCAATACATCCCCAGATGTACCAGGTGAGTCCCCAGGAGCCCAGCAGAGACCTGGACTGGGTTGACTAAATTCAGACTGACCCAGGCTAAGGAGGTGGTGATAGTGGTGTTGGGGAGTGGATGGGCAGTGGAGAGTTGAGTGGGAACTGAGGAAAGAAAGGGGGCTTAGCGAGGTCCAACTTTTCTTCATTAAAGCAAAACCTTTTTCCCCCTATAAAATCTCTAATGGGAGGCACTGCTCTGGCTGTTGAGGGGCAGGGGAGCCATGGTCCTTCCACTCAGCAACCCCTCCCAATTTAGAAAATCTCCAGATGCCAAATTAGGGTTTATGAGTCCCCCCCAGAACACAGCCATAATTCCCTCCCACCACAGGTGATGGAAGGGGCATCACAAGGGGCTCCAGGGGACAGAAAAGTTAGGTTTCTTTCCCATCCCTGACCCCACTCCCCTGCTCCTCTTTCTGAGGCAGCCAGGACTACCAGGTTATTTCTAGAACTACAAGCCTTCAGATAAGTATATGTACATATATTTAACACAAATCTTGGTATGTGATGCCACTGTTCTCCTGAACAAAGTATATCCTGCCCATCATTCCATATCAGCACATATCTCATTCTTTTTATTGGCTGTGTGATTGCCCATGGCATGGATGTCCTTAATTTAACCAGCCCCCTGGGTATAGACTTTTTCAGTTGTTCCCAATCTTTTGCTATAGCAAATAATGCTGCAGGGAATATTCTTGCAAGTAGTACTTTTATGCTCCTGTGTGAGTATTTCCATAAGATAAATTCCCACCACTTTACCTGCCCTTCCCCAGACCCCTTCCTGCATCCCCCATGCTCTAGCAGGTCATGCTCAAGACCTGCTCCAGTGCTGCCGTCAGCATCTGCGCTAACTGGTTTACGCCGGTACTGAGCTGGTTGCTAAATAGTCTCAGTATCACCCTGATTGTATTTGTTAGCTACTGCTGCATAACAAATTACCCAGAAACTTAGTGGCTTAAAACAACAGACACATTATCTCAGAGTTTCTGTGGATCAGGAAGCGAAGCACAGCTTAGCCAGGTCCTCTGGTTCAGGGTCTTTCACAGGGTGCTCTCAAGGTGTTTGCCAGGGTTACAGTCATCTGGACAATTACTGGGGGAGAGATACACTTCCAAGAGCTCTCATGACGTTGTTGGCAGAATTCAGTTCCCCACTCAGTTCCTGCCATTCGGACCTCCCATAGGCCAGCTCCCAGCCTGGCGGCTGGCTTCCATCAGAGCAGGCAAGGACGACAGCAGTGGAGGGTGAGTAAGACGGAAGCCAGTCTTTTTGTAACCTCGTCTTAGAGCGGCCATCCTGTCACTCTTTGCCACATTCCACTGGCTGGAGGCAAGTCACTAGGTCCAGCCCACATGCAGGACAGGATCACACAGAGCGTGCATACCCAGTGGCAGGGTCCTTGCAGGTTCTAGAGGCCGCTTCCCATTCTGATTGGAACCCCCCCCCCCAGGCTTACAGTATCCTCCCAACCTTGTAAGTGAACCACAGTAGTCCCCCCTATCCGTGGTTTTGCTTTTCATGGTTTCAGTTACCCGCCGTCAACCCGCAGTCCCAAAATATTAAATGGAAAATTCCAGAAATAACTCCTAAGTTTTAAATTGCACGCGGTTCTGAGTAGCGTGATGAAGTCTCGCTGCATCCTGCTCCATTCCGCCGGGGAACATAAATCATCCCTTTGTCCAGCGTGTCTACGCTGCGCACACTCCCAGCCCGTTAGCCGCTTAGTAGCCGTCTCATCAGAAGGTGAGTGGTAGGTGGGGGGCGTGAAGGGGGCCTAATATATGGTGATGGGAGATGATCGGACTTTGGGTGGGGGGCACACAGCGCAGTATACAGATTTTGTAACATAGAAATCTACACCTGAAGCCTATATGATCCTATTAACCAATGTCACCCCAATAAATTTACTATTTAAAAAAGGTGAGTGTAGCCTAACGCTATATCACAGTGCCCGCGTCGTTCACCTCCCCCTCGCATCACGTAGGCGGTGTCTCTCGCTTCATCGCAGGAAGGGCGAGTACAGTACAAGAGGATGTTCTGAGAGAGAGACCACATTCACATAACTTTCAGTACCGTATGTTATTAGAATTGTTCTATGTTATTATTAGTTATTGTTAATCTCTTACTGTGCTTAATTTCTAAATGAAATTTTATCACGGGCATGTATGTACAGGAAAAACAGTATATATAGAGTTTGGTGCCATCTTCAGTTTCAGGCATCCACTGGGGGTCCTGGAACATATCCTCTGCAGATAAGGGAGGACTCCTGTATGTTTGTCCCTTTCTAAATGAGGACACAGAAGTTCAGAGAAGTGGAGTGACTTGCTTATGGACACACGGCTAGGAAAGGGAGAAGTGAAAACCTGATCTTCTGGGTTTTAAACCCCAGGGTCCCCCATCAAGACTTTTTTAAAGTCCGACCCACTTCTCTTCCACCCAGAGGGATGGATCTTTTCCTCCTCAGTTCCCCAGACGCCCACAGCCTTACGTGCACCCGCCAGGCTGCTCTGCAGGAAGGACAGTGACGCGCACTCCCGCCTCCCCACGCATCCCCGAGCCCGGGGGCAGGGCCTGGTCTGTTCCGCCCGCGTCTTCCTCAGAGGGCCGTGCATGGCAGCGTCTCAGGAAATGTGCGTTGGGTCCAGCTGTTGAATGAGGGTGAATGAGAGGAAGTCAGATCCCCCGGGAGTGTCTGCATCTGAGGCTCCTCTGTGATTCTGGAATGAAAGGCTGTTTTAGGGCAAACTAGGGAGATGTAGGGAGGCGGAGGAAAGGGTGGTGGGAGGAAGCACAGTGCACCTGAAAAAACAGGAGGGCAGCTGCGCCTGCTCCGGGAGACTGGGAGAAGATGGGAGCAGGGCTCTGTCGTGGGAACTGCTGGCTTTGGTGACTCCGAGGGCTGTTTGCTGAGGTATTGTGTCCACCGGCCAAGTCAAAGCCTGCGTCTGAACCTCAGTCACTGCCCAGCGGCTCCCAGACTCCAGTCTCCCTTCTCTCTGTCCCCCAGTCCTTCTTGTCACTGCCGGACAGATCTGATCATGTCATTCTCTGGCTCCTTGTTGCCTGAAGCATCAAGTCAAAATCCTTAGAGTGGCATTCAAAGCCCTGTGCAGCTGCGCACAGCCTGACGTTATAGGCTAATCTCGGAATCCTCCTGCCACCCACCACTCTCTCCAGGCAGCATTGGTGTGTATGCCCTGTGTTCCCCAAACATGCCAAGGGCAATCCAAATTTCTGTGACACAGTTCCTTGTGTAAACTATCCCCCTTTTATCAGTTGGCAAAGCTCAGATGTCACCTCCTCCATGCAGCAGAATCCATGGTTTCTTTTTCCATCCCCTAGCACTTTGTCAATAGCTTTAATATTAAACCCATCACATTGCCCTGCTTCTCCATCTTCTCCCCAGTTAGCTGTGAGCTCCCCAGGGGGCTCACTGTGGCCCAGTGCCTGCAGCAGGCAGGCGCTCAAACAATGAGTAACACAGGAGCGAGTGCCACTGAAGCGGATGGGTGTAGCAGAGACCCTGTCCTGTGCTCTCTGCTGACCCCAAGCGAGAGCAGGGCCTGGCACCACTTGAGTTTGGGGATGAGTGCTTCGGCAATTGCATCCTTTTTGTCAAGGTTTTTAGCTTGCGTATCCAGGCCTACACTTGCTGGTGTGCATTTCACAGGCGTGCATTTTTCTGGGACAGTCTCCATGGCCTTCCCCAGGTTTTAAAATGGGCCATGATCTCTGCTTTGGGGAATGATGGCTTTTATGTGGCTAAGCGGTCAGGTTCCTCTGGGTCTGATATGCAACCCAGGAAGCAGGGAATTAGTTTGGATTAGGTCGAGCTGCAAATAATAGTAAATCCCAAACAACCAGGGCTGAAGCAAGACAGAAGCTGAGGGAGGGTACTGTGGTTGGAGACCCAACTGTCACCATGGATATTCCCATCATCCAAGCCCACCTAGTCCTACTGGATGGCTGGCATCACCATCCTCGCAGCCAAGCTTGGCTCCTCCCCGCCTGCAACCCTGTGAGGAGTAGAGTGTGATTCCACACCATTCAATAATCACCCCACAACTGAACCTTGGCCAGAGACTTTTTCATTCCCCATCCTGAGGGCGGAGGGAATTCTGCACGTTCTCACTCCTGGGGTTGAGGGATGGAGAGTTTTTCTTTCCATTACCTCCTTATGTAAACTGCTGCGCGGCTTTGGAGCAGATAGTCTGCAGAGTTTTCTCGATGCAGAGAAAGGATTCATGTGCACTTAGCAGCATCCTTCCGCGGAGGCACATGAAACACACAGAGCAGCTTATGCACTCTTTATTTGGCTAGAGGGGCCCCCAGAAGTCAATATAATTAACTCTATTCATTTATTTAAGAAACCTTTTCTTCAGACAGTATAAAAGCAACTTTAGTGTAGCCAACGTCAAAACGGACAGATTCTGAATTCGTCACATCGATGAATAAAGATTTCATGATTAAAGGCTCCAAATGATAGACTGCCCCTTGGCTGGCCCCAGGATGGCCTTGGATGGCCCTAATACTCGGGCCTTCTCCTTTACCAGAACTTTCCTTTCCTTTCAACGGCAGATGTGAGTCCAGAAATGTGTCAGAGGCCTGTGCTGCACCTCTGCGCCGGGCTGCTGGGGGAGGCTCGGGAGCTGGCTGCAGAGGGGAGAAGGGCCCCCGGAGCGAGGGCGTGGTGGGCGGCGCTGTCACCCGGCTCTGGCCTCTCTGGATAAATGCTCCTTCACAGAGCGCTCCATCGGAGCTTTTTATCTATCTGGGGGTCCTTTCTCCTCTCTTTTCTCTTCTGTTTTCCTCTCTTTTCTGCTGTCTCTTGCTTCCTCTCCTCTCTCTGCCCCTTTTCTGCTTTGCTTCAGCCCTGAGGAGGAATCCTCCTTGGGTGCAGGACCCTCACTGTGTTTCTCGAGCTGGGGCTCAATTCATAATTATTGAAGAAATAACCAAATGAGCAAACACATGACTGAGTGAATGAACGCTTTTTCCTGAACCAGCATCTGGTATTTTTTATATCATAACCACCCATTTCGGAGGGAAGTTTGTAGCGGGACCTACCAGTCTGATTTTTCTGAACGAGCCAGCTCTTTCCCGCTGGTGTCTGTATTGAAACAAAAGGGGACACGTAAACCTCTCTTTTGCACCATGAACATTTCTTAATTGGGTGGCAGGACTTTCCGTGCCTGGATTTTAGTATTTCTGAATCTTTGCATGGAAGCGGAGATAAAACAGAACATCTCCAACTGCCAAATATGTGGCTTTGGGGCGGCCTCCGCCTCGGTTCCGGAAGGGATCTGTTGGTCATCCAGACAGACGTCATTGTCCTTGGGTGAGCCCAGATGTTGGCAAGATAATCCAAAAGCAAATAACTCAAGCAGGGATATTAAGGGTTCTGTTTATAGAGAAATAAAAAGTATTACCAAAGCCATACACTCAAATAAATATAAGTTGGCAGTTGAAATGAGCAAATATTTTAAATCAGAGATATGTTTCCGCATACCCACCCCCCTCCTCCTTCCTCCCACACTGGTCCCCTCTCTCTGCTGGGAGGGCTGTGGTAGGTTTTAGAGGACATCTGACCACCTCTGGCTGACCCTCACTTGAGGCACACCCTGAACTCCACTCTGAGCCCAGCTGGTGGGGAGACCCACCCCCAGATTCTGCTGGGAGCCCCGCTTTCTCTGGATGCTACTTTGTCTTTGTCTCTGAAATCAGCTCCCTTGACCAGTCTGTGTCTCCATTTGTGCCTCAACCCTGACTCCCTTTGCCCCTCCCATTCCACTTTCCTTCTAACCAAGGGTGGCTTGCAGGTGGAGAAGTCCTGCAAGCCAGCTCTTCTACACTGAGCTCTAACTTGTCTGGCCTTTTCTGGCCCACCAGGGGTGGCCCTTTGGAGAAAGGCCATAGTCTGTGGTTGGCTGGGGAGGAAGGGCGTTCTTCCTTTGGGCTGAGGGCTGACGTTATAATATGTTGCTGAGGTTTTCATGACTATTTGTAACTCATTCATTCATTCACGGTCCCTTCCTTCCTTCCTTCCTTCCTTCCTTCCTTCCTTCCTTCCTTCCTTCCTTCCTTCCTTCCTTCCTTCCCTTTTTTAAATTTATACAAGGAATATTATCTATTGTGCAAAGAGGTTATCTGGCTCCTTAGAGAGCTCTGGGGAAGACTGTCCTTTTCATAACTCCAGCTCCAGTTCTAGAGATTCAAAGGCCTATGGTCATGGGCACTGATGAGGCGACACACCCCTTGGCTCCAGTTACATCCCTGGTGTTTGAGGTGTGGGGGAACTGCAGATGCTTCCTTCCTTGTCCTGCAGCAGCTCCACAAGAAGCTGGTTTAGGAGTGTAAGGTTGCTGTCTGTGTGAGGCAGGGGTAGGGATGGGAGGCGGTTCCCTTTATACTCAGTCACTGCCATCTTAGCCCGGTCCTGCTTATTTCGATTTGGGATCTGCAGCATTCTTGTGTAGCCCCCATTCTGACCTCGGTACTTGAAACCGCTTTGGGATCAAGTCTTTCTCTGTGAGTCAGAAGTCAGCCATGTGCATGGCTTGTTGGTTGGTGGCTCCCAGCTTTCCATAGTCGATGAGCTTCTCAGCATAGCCTCTCATCCCATCCACTCGTGGTGCATTTGTGTCACACTAGTCCCTGAGCATGGAATGAATGTGTTTCAAGGACATTCTGCGGTCTTGCGTGTTTCAGCAGCTGAGGTGTCCACTGTTACTCTGCAGTGGGGCAGGGTGGTGGGGTGGGAGAGAGCTCCCTTTGGCACCAAACCCCCTGGGGTTCAATCCTGGGTTAAGTAGGGGGGAATAATTCCAAGATCAGGGAATAAATAAATGAAACGTAGATTTTATATATATATGTGTGCGTGTGTGTGTGTGTATATATGTATGTATATGTGTATATATATATGTATATTTATTTNATATATATATATATATATATGTGTGTGTGTGTGCGTGTATATATGTATGTATATGTGTATATATATGTATATTTATTTTTATTGAATTTTTGGGGTGACATTCATCANTTATATATATATGTGTGCGTGTGTGTGTGTGTATATATGTATGTATATGTGTATATATATATGTATATTTATTTTTATTGAATTTTTGGGGTGACATTCATCAATAAAATTATATAGGTTTCAGGTGTACAATTCTATAATACCTCATCTATATATTGTACTGTCTGTTCATCTGGCCAAGATGAGATATTCTTTTAAGCAGCAGATGCCCCCCATATTCTTTATAAAGGAGGGGCAACAGGGGATGGGGCACCCTGCAGTTGCACGGGATGCCCTCTCTTTCATGGATGCCCCAGCTGAGTTCTACTGTCACCATGGGAAACTTTCCTCCAAACCACCTTCGGCTGAATGAGAAAATGATATCCTCACCTATTCTGGGTGTCTAACGACCAAAACCCAACTCAAACTAGGGTATGTGGGAAAAAAGGGTACATCGAGGAGACTGAAGTAGCCCACAGAGCCAAAGGAGAGCAGACAGCGGGTGAGACGGACCAGGGAAGGACCTGGGACTCCAGAGCCTGGAACGCCACCAGCAAGATAGGCTTCCCCGTGAGCTTGGAACTGTGGCCATTCATGGATAGAGAGCAAAGTGGCTCTTGGTTGTAGCTGAAAAGTCCCAAGGAAGGTCTCTGATTGGTCCAGCTTTCATCAGATGCTCAGCTCCTGGACCAATCACTGTGTGGCCAGGGAGGCAGGATCATAGAGGAGGGTGGCAGCTTCTGCAGACCACGTAGGAAGGGGCTGGGGGCAGTTCCCCCAAAGGGAATTGAGGAAGCAGCCCAGAAGAAGGGGTGCTGGGTGACCAAACACTAAGTGCCCTTTCCCCTCATGGGGAGCTCATTCACAAAGCTCAGTGGCTGGCTGCCTGCTTTTCAGAGCCAAAGGAAACCAACCCCAAGTCATGGTTCTTGGGTGAGAACGGGTGGTGTCATGGGAAATGTCAGAGCATCTCAGGTTGCCATTTTAGGAAAAGTCTTTTAGTCTACAATTCCAGTTTTTCCTCCAAAGGGTGCTAAGCAGGTGTTTTTGTCTTTCTATTTCATAGACAAGAAACTGAGGCCCTAAGGTTGTCCATCAAGTTGGGAACAGAACTCAAATCAGAACTTGGGTTTCCTGACTCTGAGGTCCTGTAGGAAGTTTCCACAGGGACTGAGGCAGGACATGAGCCTGGTCCCAGGCCCTGAACCTCACTTTGGCCTCCATCCAGGAAGGAAGAGGTTCTCCAAGGTCAGCCTGTCCATCCACAGACATGTGCAGAGTGCTCACTATGGGTCAGGTTCAGGACCAGATGCTCACAGTCTAATGCCTCCCACCTTCCAGATAAAACCTAATGACCACAAGGTGGTGAGTGCAGTGGGCGAGGGCACCTGGCCTGAGTGGGGAAGAGGAGGGAGTGGTCAAGGGGAGCTTGTCAGAGGAAGTGGCCCTTGAGCTAAATGTAGAAGGGTGAGCTTGGCAGGGAGAGAAAGGGTGGAAAAGCATTATGGGTCAAAGGAGCAGCAGCTGTGAAGGCGCAGAGGCACACAGGAGCGTGGGATCTCCCATGTCCTGACCCCGGGAGCAGCCAGGCCTCTGCACTGAGTAGTTAAACCTGCTTATCACACAGAGCTCTCTCAAGGCCAACCGCTGTCCTCCTGTCACCCCATAGCACCAGCATCACTATCCCAGGTTGGTGGGTTTACTTCCTGCCCTCAGTTCCACTCACTACGATCTCTTGCGCACCATCCGGCTCCTGGTTCAGGCCTCAGAGTCCCCTGCTTGTGAGATGTTCCCGATGCCAGGCTCTGCCTCTGTTTCAGAATCTCGGCGAAGGGCCATCTTTGAATACCACCGTGTGGAGCTGGACCCCAGCAAGGTCATCAGCACATCGGCCGTGGAGTTCACCCCATTGCCAAGTAAGTAGGGGTGGTTCCCACTGATGGGAAGGCAGCCTAGGACAGCAGTGTCCTGGAAAGAGCTTGGGAGTCAGACTGAGTGCCATCCGCAGGCCCACCACTGACCCTTGTGTGGGTCTGACCACCTAAAGTCTCTGGGCCTCCATTTATCATTTGTCACATGGGCCTAATACCACCTCCTGCCCAGAGCTTTAGAACCACAGTGGGGAGAGGTGAGGACACAAATGGCAGCTCTGACACTAACTGGCACCTCTCTGGCCTGGGGTGTGGTTTCTGCTTGGCAGATGACAGCTATTGTTATTAACGTGTAATTGAAACCCAGGAAAGATGTATCTCTGAGAACTTAGACTGAGTCCCAGGAAAAATAATCCAGGAACTGAATTGATCCATAGTTTATCATTGTATTTTCCTTAGAGGGGGGTGATGCTGGAGTCCACAGGCAGAAGGCCATAAAAGGATTTAGCCAGCAGCTCTCCGAGAACCATGGGGCCCTGGCCCTCTCCCGTGTCTGTACTCCACTCACCTACAGGTGAAAGCACGTCACGGCCAAGGCCCCTGTTGCTGCTGTGGACCCCGCAGGATCAGGGTTGGATGCTCTTCAGGATCTGATCAGAGCAGCTGGGGAGCCTGAGGGAAAGGAGGACCACGCTCCCATTCTTGGATTTTTAAAGAGGGTTTTCATTTCATCTTCTCTCTCATGGTACCTCCCAGCTTCTGAAGCTGTGGCTCTTCCCTGTCCTCTGGGATGTTTCTCGCCTGTTTCCCCCACCCCTACCTTTTCCTCTTCCCTGGAGGTTCTGGGAACAGGAGGTGGGGAAAGGAGAGGAGGAGGAGGGTTCTGGAATGCTAGGCCAGGCATCTCAGTCTGGGCTCCGCAGGCGTCCTCCTTGTAAAAGAGGAAGGACCAGACACCTCGGAGTCACAAGGCTAGGACACCAGGCAGGTTTCAGCCCCACTCCCATTCCAGGCGCCTTCCCTCTAGGCAAGAGGGGCCTGGGGTCTGAGAACCAACGGTTTCTCAAGAACTGGTGAGAGCAAACCTCACATCCTAGGGATTGAGTAAAACTTCTTGTAGGAGCAAGGACATCCAAGGACAGGGCTAACTGCCCTGGGGGAAGACGTGAACTGTCCTGGGAATGAGTTTCTGGGACACTGTTCGTCCATGTAAGCCATTTCCCACCCTGCCAGTGAATGTTGTGAGCATTTAATAGCATGCAGGACATCTGAAATGCAGATGAGAAAAAAGTTCAGTGGGCCTTATGAACACCCCACGAGGCTCCCAGGGTTTGTTTTCAGTTTAACTAGGGCCATTTAGGGGCCTCCAGAGTCCCTGGGAATGACCAGGCCATGGGCTCCCATGTGGGTGCAGCTGGTTGGGAAGGAGACAGTGCTACAGGGCTGTCATTGGAACCCCTGGGAGGCCAATTAGCTTTGTCCTCAGAAAACCCTGCATCCCCAGCCTAGGCTCTCTCCCTTACCTTTGGGGGAGAACTTATTCAAGATTCTTCCAGAGGTGTGGATGGGTCATCTCTAAGCCATTGCACTCTGTGGCTGGTCCCACTTCTGGAAGAGGCTCATGAAAAGATGGTGTGGGGTAAAGGTGGGCGCTGGGGCAGAGGGACCCATGGAGGCTAAGAGCTCAGGGCATCTGCTCAGACAGACCATTCACACCCAGACCCACCTCTCTCAGCTCGGTGACTCTTTCTAAACCTCAGTTCCCTCTCTGTACAATGGGGATAACACAAGCATCTATATAATGACTCAGTAAACAGGTTAACTGCCTCCCACATGCCGGGCACTGTTCTAGGCCCTCTGGGTACACAAGGGAACAAAACAGCCAGAGCTCTCATTCTCGGGCCAGGCCAATTTCTGCTTATTTCCTGCCCATGGCTTTCCATCCACCCTTCTAGGCCTGCAAAGACCTGGCAGACAAAAGGACATGGTGCCACCTACAGTCAGTCCCTCCCACAAAATGTGTAAAGGTCACCACACTTGCCTATGACAGCTTTTCTCCCACTCACCAAGGGCTGGGTCCCAGCTTCCATCTTGCTGGGGTCCATGGAATGCAAATTGATCCCCTAATTAATGGGTTGTCATAGAGTCCCGTCAAAACTCACATAGTGGGGAAGTGCGTGCAATGTTTATTGAATGAGTGGTCATTTTTCTGTAGTTGTCACTTCTTGCTGCTATCAATGTGTTCTGTTCAGCTGCTCATCANCAAAACTCACATAGTGGGGAAGTGCGTGCGATGTTTATTGAATGAGTGGTCATTTTTCTGTAGTTAGTTGTCACTTCTTGCTGCTATCAATGTGTTCTGTTCAGCTGCTCATCAGAAGAGCCCTCCTATTGCAGCTTTTCTGGGCAAGGGCCTGTCTCTCCTTATAGTAAAATGCATGGGCTTTGTGGCAGCTGCTTGCTGATCAGAAGTCATTCTGGTTCACTTAAGTGGGTGGCATTTGACTGCAAGTGAACAACTCTTAAAATTCAGCCCCCACAGCTTTTGCTCCCCTGGCCCTCTCTGCTCCTCTGCCTGGCTGGTGCCCTCCAGCAACTGCTCCCACTAGATTCTCTGCTCTCTGATTCTGCCCTGCCCAGGGGATCTCTCTTCTCCACTCTGCCCAGCCTGTCAGGGTTCTGGCTGCTGCTGGGAACACGCCTGGGACATGCTCCTCCCGGGCCTCTGCACAGGGGCCCTTCTGCTTGGATTTCTCCCCCAGGAGAGCTTCAGGCTCCCTTCCTCCCTTCTCTGTCTCTGCCCAAGCAGCCTCAGAGGCCTCCCCAACCTCCCTGAATAGAACACATCCCCCACGGTCATTTCGCCTCCTGGTTCTGCTCTAGGCTTTCACCCCTTTCTCACCACTGGAAGCCCTGCTGTATATTTATTTGCCTGCGTATGGGTTGGCCTTCTCCGCTGGACTGCAGGCTCCGTGTGGGCAGCGCTTCTGCCTTTTCTTGTTCGCCGCTGTGCCACATCGGGCACTCAGTAAATATATATTGAAAGAATGCGTGGAGAGATGAATGAGAGAATGAATATGCGGCAGGGATATTGAGAGGCAGGAGTAAGACCACAATCAGTAACAAGAAGTACTCTTCACCGGGCTCACTACGTGGCCGGCACTATTCTAAACTCTCCCCAGGTGTTATCTCATGTCACCCTCACAGCAGATCTGCCAAGCAGATAACATCACGATCCCTCTTGTATAAATGAGGTACCAAGGCACCAAGAGGTTAAGTCACTTCCCAAGTAAGACTTAAGCCTGGATGAGCAGAGATGCCTGCGCACCCCCTGGGGTAGCCCACTTCCGAGAGAGAAGCAGCTGAAGAAGGAATGGGCTTAGTATGTCCGGTTTACCCTCAGAAACAGCCTCAGGCTTCCCTGGGAGGCCTGTGAGGAGGTGGAGAGAGGCCAGGGGCGGGACTCTGGGACAGTCCTGTCTCATGGACCAAACGTCAGGGGTGGGGCATGAGTGCTCCCGGCCAGCTCTGGATGGGAATCAAACCAGAACATCTTAAAAAATCGTCTTCAGTGATTATAGACACAAAACTGTGTTATAAACATTAAACTTGCTAAGAGACTGGATCTTAATTGCTCCCACCGCATGAAGAAATGGTAATTAGGTGACACGATAGAGCTGTTAGCTGCATTGGCAATCATATAGCGATATAAATGTGTCAAGTCAATGTGTTGTACACCTTAAACTTACTCAGTATGTGTCAAATATATCTCAATTCTATAAAATCCCTTTCAACCCTGTAATTGTAGGCAACAGCCCAGAGCAGAACTTCCCAGACTGGGTGAGATCCCTTTGGACATGTTTACAGCACCCTGTAATTCTCCTCCATAAGCCTCATCAAAATAATTATTATGTGGTTATCTTTGTTATCTGTTTAGTGTCTATCTCCCCATATGACTGCAAGGCCCAAGCAGGTAGTCTTACTGCAGAATCCTCACCACCAGCTCAAGGCCTGACCCCCCAGGAGACAGAAAGAAGGGAGGGAGGG